GAATTTGTCTGCCAGTATTCCATTACTTGCTAAAAGAATGCAGAGTTCAATCATCAGATAATCATTATAGCTGTTTTGAAGTGTTTATTTTATTAGTCTAGAAGGTAAAGCAAATTTCATACTTTTAAGTTGTTGCAGGCTTTGCAGGCGCCCTGATAAGCTCTTGTATTTCTATACCCCATGGTTAGGGTTCAGGTACTGGCAGCAGGTGATAATATGCACAACACAGGAGAGATCCAAACTGACAAATTTTGACAGTTGAAAACTAATATATCAGACCAATAAATATGGGTTGAGCTTTTTTTTTTTTTCCCCCTCTGGTATCTTTTCTCTTTTAATTCCCAAAAGTTAAATTTTCAGGCCTGGGAGACTGAAAAATATTTTTCTACAAGCAAATCAAAACCTCAGAGCATCTTGTGGAGCATGTTTTAATTACTGTCCACATCAAAGGGTTATTTTCTGATATAGATGCACATGTGTAATTCCTGGTAACTTTAATAAAGGAATTATCTATTCAGTTTAGGAAGCTGTAAAAGACTTTTTCTCACCCAGAGCAAGATGGAGGTGTCCATATTCACTCAGGCATGAAATCCTGGCTGAGAGATTAAGCCTCTTACACAGATCCCAGTGCCATTAAATGTCAACAAGGACTGTGTAAGCCACATCTTCAAGTGGAGGAGAGCTTCCCTTTGTTAGTTATTCAAAATTAGGAATGTAAACAGCTCTCACAGCATAATTAGTTTGTGTTTGAATTGGGAGAAAGTGACAAAAATAATGGCATAGCAGAGCTCCTGGAGATGTCATAGAGCTGGATCTTTCAGCCTAACAAAGCCATGACTGCTCTGCTGGGAGGCAAATTTGGGTCACGGAGCAGAAGTCACACAGTAGGAGAAGCCCCATTGCTCGGGGTCACTAACAGCCCTTTGAAAAAATTCTCTTGCTTACAGGAGGAATGGCATGTCTTAAAGTTTCATGGTGAAAACTGCAATTTGTCATAGTTCCACAAAATCCTCCAGAAACCCAGGTTCACTGCTAGCAGAAAACCATGGCCCCCGTGGTGTGAAAGTCCTCACCACTTGATCTTTTTCCCATTCCTCACTTCTAAATGATGGCTTCAGTGAACCCATGGCTTGATTCTCCTGTAATCCATTGCTGCCATCTTTGACAGTGACTCACGTAAAGCTGTTTCTAGCCATACATGAGGCTGTTTGTCCCTGTCACTGTCTTGCTAAACAGGTTTCTGTGGAAATTAAATAAATAAAATCTCTACCAGTGGTGCTAATTGGTGCCTTTGGCAGCCTGAGCAAGGGCTTGTGAATTGAATGTGTCATGGAGAATTGAATGTGTCAACTCTCTCCCAATGGCTGGGACCTTAAGGTCTTTCTCTGGCACTAAATTTCCTTTGAAAAAAGAAAAAAGGGGAAGAGGCGGGAGGGGGGTAGAGAGAGAGAGAGAAAACAAGCTGAAGTAAGAGATCTTTTCCCTTTTTTTAATGAGGTGTTGAAGTTGAACATTGTAGTGTCCACACTGCAGCGTTTGCTCGTCAGATGCCTTAAGAAGTAGGGCTGGTTTTTGCTGTTGTTTCTCAGGCATCCGATTAAACACTGAGCAGCATGGAGTGGCAGGTTTTATTCAGTCTGTTCAAGCATCTGGCAGGATAGCCATGAAGTTGTTGCCGATGTCCTTAAGGGACTGTAGGGATCTGCATGATTCATTCAGCATTTTTTTCAAGGTACAAAGAAGAAATGCCTTACGCTGTAGTAAATACTGTTCCAAGTAGAGCACAACCAGCTTAGCAGAGCGTGGGAGATTTGCTGCTCTGGAGGCACTGACTGGCAGAATGAGCTCCTCTGCCTGTGGGCAGGAATACACTAACCCATGTGGAGTTAAACTGGGCTGGATTTCAGGCTGTTGAGGACTGACAGAACCATGTCCACAAACCAATTCACCTTTTAAGTTGTCCTGACTAGGAGAGGAGAAGGTTATTACTGACAGGCTCTGAGTTATTTGGATGTCAAAGTCTAGTTGCGGTTCAAGCTGCTGTCGAGTTTGTTGGTAATGAAAAAAAGATTCTATGTGCATGGGGTCTGAAGGGGAGGGTTTATTTTTTAATTTTCTTTCAGTAGGAAGCATACCTTTTCTTTTTCAGCTGGGCCACTTGTTTGTTTTGGCAATATTACATTTTCTTTAGTAAAATAGAGGGAGGAAGGAATGTCATTGCCTTTTTGCCTTTCAGCAGGGGACAGCTACTAGTCTTAAAGCACAGTTTAGCCCTGTCCTGTTACACAGGCATCTTCCCCATCAACACTCCTGCAGAAAAAACTGAATTAGGTCCTTTTTCTATGTACTCACCCAAAAGGATTTTACAGTGGTGCCATCTTCAATGCAGTTTGTGTAACATGGCTACAGCACCTCTGGAAAATCCATAGGCTGAGCTACAGCATTTTCTTGGGGAAACATGCACTATTGCCTTTTCTGTTTCTCTCTGTTGTCTTATTTTCTTTTCTGAGTCCAGCTGACCTCTGTGGCAGACACCTTCAAATTCAGGTGTACACGAGTGGGGGTCCATGCCACCCTCAAACCACAGCAAACCAGCTCTTGTTGTGGGGTTTGTTTTATTTAGGAAGATATAAGCCAAATGTGTCCTGACAAAAATTTTATCCATATGCATTTCCAGATGTGTCAATCTGTGAGCTGAGAAGTCTCTATTTTTGTCAAGGTCTGATGACCTGCCTGAAACATCCCCACATTTCCTATTAAGCTACTGTTTCTTCCAGCCCTCATTCACAGAAACATTTTTCTCTCCTGAGCTGTTACTTCCCAAAAATGACCAGTTAAAGGGTATTTCACAGCATATTCATCTTTCAAGTGCAGTTCTTTCAAGTATTGCCAAGAATGATAAACCAATAGATTTCAAATTTCTCCTTATCGGAATGAACCCCCGAGCTGAAATCTAAAATGAAACTCTTCGGGCCCATGGAAAAGGACATGGCAATTGCAAAGTTGTGATTACAGCTTGATATTTTCCCCTCTGAATCCTCTCTCCTGGTTAAAAAGTCTTATATTAAAAAGCTAACAAACCAAAAAAAGAAACAATAGGAGATAGACTTGGAGCTGTCTGACAGGATAGAAAAATATTGCAATATTGTCTTAAAATACCACTATTAAATGTCACAAACTTGGGGTAAAATAATTCACCTGGGGTAAAATAATTCAGATTTTCAGGATTTTCCAGTGAAACAGAAGGTTTAGAAACACTTATAGGAAACACAAACCTTAACAGGCTGTGCCTGTCTCTAGCACACATCCCTGCAATCGATGTCCCGCTTACTGAAATAATTATTAAACCATCTCCATCATAAAGTGTGAAATTTTAAAGAACCTGTTGGCAGTATGAAAAACGTTCCTCTCAGGTGTGTTAAGTCTGCATTACCTGCCTGCCCACGTTTTGCAGTGCCTGCAAGTGATTTTGTACATTAGGGATAAACTCGCTGTGTTCCAGCTGGCAATACATGGTCACCTTTGCTGGTCACCAAGGCAATGCTGTCACTGGCCTGGCTGCAGAGCCAGAGGGAGCATTCCCAATGCCATGCCCAGCTTGAGCCAAGCAAGGAGCAGTGGAGGGACCATTCTGGATTCAGCCCTTCCTTCCAACGTGGGCCACCAATGGTTGCTTCCAATGATTGCTGTGTGTTGCTGTGCACACCTTCTCCTTGTGTCCTTTGCCACTATGGGGATGCTGCAGGGTTGAACTCAAGCAGGCACGTCAGGTGGGCTGGGATGTTTCACCTTGACCAACATTAGGGAGCTGATATAAGCTTTGCTCATTGCCTGAAGCACAGATTATTTTATCTGTGTCATGCTCCAAGGGATGCATGAACCAGGGTTTCTTTTATTTACTGATTGGTTCTGACATTTCTCTGGAGTTGTAACAAATCTCTGACTGTGATTAAGAGAAAAGGATTGTTTTCTGATTCATCAGTAAGATCTGTTTCATGTGAAGTAGGTTTCTACTTCAGGGGCCACTTCTGTCCACCAGCCAGCATTGCCCAGAATGTTTTCCCTCTCCCCATAATCAAACACCCCATCTGCAGCAAACATGTCATCTGTCAAGGAGCAGACTTCATTGCTGTGGGGTATTACAGGCAAACCCTGCTCCTTGCTTTTTGTCCCCTGCCTGTGACATTAGAGCTCTTCCCTGAGGATCTGTGTGTGAGCCCTGACCTCACCCTTGGGCTGGTTGAGCTGCCTGGGCTGTGTGTGCTGCAGCAAAAGCTGCTTTACGTTCGCAGTGGACAAAGTGACAGCAACCCATGTTTGGTCCCACACACCACCTGGCTGGACCATGCTGTCAAAAGGGACACCACAGGATTAAGGCAACTAAAACCACCTGCTTTACTGAAAATGCAGCAGATGCAGGGAGAGCAGAGCCTCCCTTAATGCTGTTAGCCATCAGCAGCCTCCACTTTCCCAGCAGTGGCGAATTCACCTGTAGCTTGTTTTTCATTTTTGAAACTGAGTTGAGTGTTCCACCTCCAGTCCTGCCTGGTTTCAAAGAAATGGGGGAATCAACCTTAGCTCTTTTGTATAAGGCCCTTTAAATAAAGTCCTGCTTTAGCCTGCTTTTCTGCTTGGGATGTAACAATGAATTCCTGCTGCTTGAGCCTGCCATGTTGCTTATATTCAAAGTATAATGGGGAGCCTTCAGAAAAATATAACCTTATTTACAATGTACAAAGCCAATTGGATTTTGGTTAACAATTTCTAAGTGATTACAGTTCACTAACAATGCAGGTGTGCTATAGATGCAATGCACAGGGGGTGACTTTTATTTTAAATCATACAAGCTTTCTTTTATTCATGTCATTCAGGCGCCTCAGGATAATTCACATTTCCAGCTTTCATAATGTGTTGTTCAACCACTGTTTTTTCTCCCTTCCTATTGTACTCTCACAAATCATACTCACTAATTTCTGAAAGCTTTTCATTTCTCTCTATAGGTTGTTGTTTCGTAACATTTTATACAAGAAAAGCTGCTCTTGAGGCACAGAATGCACTGCACAATATTAAAACTTTACCTGGGGTGAGTACATTTACTTTTTGATCCTAATTATTTTATTGCCAGAAGAATAGCCCTTTTGCTCTCCGTGCTGCTTGGTGCCCCAAATGATCTTAATCTCTGCAAGGAGGGTGGCTAAGCTGATGGTCTGTCCTGTGTTGGTGCCAGTCCTGTAGCAATGGCATCATGTCCAAAGGCAGCTGCTGTTCTCTAGAAAGTCCTTTGGCTGGAAAGGCTATTGATTCCTGCTGAGTAGAGACAGTGCCCAAAGTGTAATGTGGATCTTTATTTTTAATTTATTTAAGGGAGAGGGAGGGAAGGGGGAAGGAGAGAAAGCATAAGGCAGAAAAACACTGCACCACTGGGGCTTCATGTTTGAAGAGGGAGAGGAGAAGACAAAAGACAGCCAAAGTTTGTTAAATGCAGCCTTTATCTGTGTGGTTTCTAAACAACCTGAATGCACTGGCTGCACATCTCAGGGTGTTGTGTAGTGTGGTACCACGTAGCTGCTTGCACAGGGTCATCCTGTCTCCTGACATCACCTCTCGTCACCACCTGCTCCCACTGGCACCAGCATTCAGAACAGTTGTGGTTGTGTTGTACAAACTGTATCCTGCGTTTTACTGTGGTATTTTATATTTAAATTACAGGGCTAGAGAGAAGTATAGCACTGGTAATTGCATGTCTAAACTCTGAAATCTTCTTGTACCACCATTTTCATTTTTTCTGCTGTATTCTTTGAGGATGGAAGTGAAAAAAATATAAAGGATGGAGGCATATTCCCTCTTGATGTAGGAGAAGTGTTCAAGTATATGTTTGTAGTGTCTGGTTACAGACGTGAAAATAAATAAATACACTGTGTAAATAAATAGAGCATTGCCTGGACTGACAGTTATATGGCCAATATGTCCTTTAGTTCCTATGTGCTGTGTGTGAAATTGGACACTCTGTGTTTGAAAAATTATATCTGGCCAGTTCACTTTGTGCAAGTGATTTCCTGTTAGGAAAGCCACCTCATGTGTCATGGAAATAGCCAGCATAGAGAGGTGCTGTAATGGCACAGTTACCTGTGAGCCCTGCTAAAGGTGAAATGGGAGTCCTCTGTCATTTGCAATGAACATACTGGGAATGGTGTGGGAAATCTGCAAAGGTAGGAGAAGAGGAGTAAAGTTGTGGCACTTCAAGTGATGTTTTCCAGCAGCTGGCCCTTGCAAGGGACAGTACCAAGACCTTACAAGCCTCCCAGTGGGAGTCTCAGCACTTTAGGGTGTAGAGGATGGATGTGCCATTCAAGAGAGAGAAAGGAAGGCTCTGAGGGACAATTCCCTTTGAGACCCCTTTGGAGTCCCAGTGTTCTCTGTCCCTGCAACCCCAGCTGTTGGTTCCCATCCCCACTGCCAGAAAATGCCAAGCCCTCGGATGAGAGCTCTCTAACCCCATTCAATGTTGCACCTAAACCAACTCACTGAGTTATTGCTCTCCATCATGCTTGGAGTCAAATGGCTGTGTGGACTGGCTGGGTAGGATGGAGGTGACCCCAAGCTGCTGGAGCAGCACCCTGCCCAGATAGCATCCCTCAAGCTCTACCACAAGATCTATGCATCACAAAGTAGATGGGGTCTGTTTAGAATCATACAGAGTCATAAGGGCTGGAAAAGACCTCCAAGATCATCGAGTACAACCTTTGACCAAAACCCACAATGTCAATTAAATCACAGCACTAAGTGCCACATCCAGTTGTTTTTTTGAACACTTCTAAGCATGATGACTCCACCACTTCCCTGGGCAGCCAAAGGTTGACCACCCTTCTAGTGAAGAAGCTCATTCTGATGCCCAATCTGAACCTCCCCTGGTGCAGCTTGAGGACATGTCTTCTCATCCTGTTGCCTGGGGGCAGAGCCTGACCCCGCCTGGCCACACCCTCCTGTCAGGAGGTTGAAGAGAGTGGTAAGGTCACCGCAACCTTTTCTCCAGGCTAAACAAATCAAGCTGCCCCAGCTGCTTTTAGTTTTCTCTGTTGTTCCCTGAGTCCTCCAAGCTGCTTGCTGTGTTCTGAGAGATGTCATTTATCCCAGTGGGTGACTCGGAGGGACAGTTTCACTCTCTTGCTTCCTCACATACAGGTGGCAAAGCTGGCTCAGCTCTGCATTGCATCTTAGTTGAGCAGGGCATCATTTTCTCCCCAACTTTTGCACAGCTAATGAGCAGGCAGCAGTTAAAGATGCTAGTGTACCTTTTGATGTTATTTTAAAATAGGGTTCAAAAATTTTTTTCCCTAAAGCCCTCTCTAGTTCTTTGTCATTTAAAATTTATCTTTCTAAGCTGTTCTTTCCTGTCCTGACTGTGAGGTTACAAAGTTTTCTTTTAAGGAAATACAGACACAGCATTCCCATAACTCAGGGGCCTTAGCTTTAAAAATACTCCTGGTATGGCCAGAGATGTTTAGATTTTACTATGAGATAAGTTGTTATACCTACTTTTTTAAAGGGAAGCCTCTAATAAAGAGAAGCAACTTGAATACATCTCTACTACTTGTCTTTCAGAATGATTCAGCATATATTATATAACAGATTCTGTATTTTGCACGTGCAGTATACTGACATTCAGCATATATAGGGATACTGTTATGCTGCATCTGTATATTCCCAAAATAACTTCATTTAAGCACTCTTTAAAGTTGTGGCACATGTGCTGGAAACACTTCACGTTAGGAGGGTTCTCCTTATATGAATTTTAGCAATTTCTGTATTGTTCCTCTTGCCTGCTAAGCAGCTATTACCAAACAAGTGGGAATCAGTAGTGGATAGTTCTGTGTGTGAAATAGTCTCAGAGCAAATGGAAGCAATCTTCTGTCAGAGCTGCAACAAGGGATGAATTTGGATCAGGTTCATTTAGGCATCGAGTGTCAGTTTGCTTCCAGTAAGCAAGGTATGGTCAGTAGGAGGTTCAGTAATAAGGTGTCTCCTGGAAACAAAAGAATCCATGCCTTCCCCTTTTGCTGTAATATCACCATGCATGAGATAAGGCATCCTTAAACAGCTCAGGAAGAAAATCCGAGGCAAAGGCAGGTGATTTATTAGTGTAAGGTAAGGAAAGTTGGCAGAGGCAGGAGCAGGGGGCTGCAGGGATGCTGTGGCTGTTGGAACTCATCTGTGTTTTACCTTGTTTTACCTGCACTCAGGTGTAACCTGCACTGCTGCAGAGGTGTGGAGGAGAATAGCTCTGTGTTCATTGTGGATAGAGCCTAGATTGTTTCTGGGTTTGGTCTCTTCATTTCTTAAATGCAGGCTTGCTCAGCAAGCAAGTTTTGGATCAGCACTGGTGAAGCCAAAAAAGTGGGGGTTTAGTGTGAATTTTATTCCCCTTCCAAGGCTGCATGTTCAGTGTAATTTAAGTAGCTTTTTGAGCAAAGCCTGCAGTGCTATGTCTCTATCTCTGCTTTTTTTGCCTGGACCTCATCCTTAACAGAGACATGAAAACACCAGCGCTTGATCTGCTCCTTTGAGCTGCACCCTTTTAGTGGACATGAAGAAAATAAGACCAGACATAAATGATTAATGCAGAATCTTGGAAGAAAATATTGCAGGGTGCCTTGCTGTTTGATTACAAGCCTTGGAATTAGTCAACATTTCCATAATTCTAAACCAATATACACCTGTTTTCCCACTGTGATGTGAAGGCACAACTTAATTTAACAGAAACCCCGCTGTGCTAAATCTCTCATTAAATACCAAGCTAGTTCTGTAATTTAAAGTTGCAGCACTACTATTTTAACTGAATTGCCTTTGTATTATAAAATTAATAAGAAGTTAATGATGCACTTTGCTGTATTCACTCAGATTTTTTTTTCACAGCAACAACAACAAAAAAGAAAGATAAAGAAGAAAAACATGTCACCAGCTGACATCTCAAGGCTTTTTTGGTTTTAATCATTTTCCTGAGGATAGAAATTCATTTAAAAAGATTTTTTTAAAAAAATTAAAAACTTTCTGCACAAGTAGGATCAAACATCATCTTTTTATTCATGATTAATATAATCTCTCTGTGAGTCATAATATTCCGTGTCATATATGGGAGCTTTTATCTTTCCCAAAATATGTATTTAGATATCACTTGTTATGTACGATTGCTGCTAGGCAGAGAAGCAGATATGCAGTGTTTGAGAAATACAGGCATATTGTTATGATATATGATACAGATCAACAAAACAGGGACAGTTATCTTCTGTTTACTTGGTGCTGGCATCACAAGTAGCTTTTGTCTTGCAAATGAACAGTGTGAATTTTCAGATGTGTCTTTTCAAACATAGCACGAGAGCAGGTTGCTGGTACCCTCACAGCTCATAGGGATGTGGTATATATTATTCACCTTAGAGTCAGGTTTTCTTGGAGTGTTCATTTGGATTTTGTTTTAAAAGGCAGAAGGGAGAGAAGGGAAAATCTCAATTTGAATGTAATAATTATCTTGGAAATGGGCTTCTTTGGGATGAGATGTAGAACTGAGGCCTTAACTAGTCTCATTTTCATTAAGAATCTCATGGCTTCGTTAGAGTTGTTTAACTTCTATTCCCTAAACAGAGTAATCCAATAAATTCCACCCATCTAAATTTCTGTACCTTCAGTTAGATGTAATAATCTTGTTTCCCCCATGCCCTAATTTGCTGCTTAGTGAAAATTGGCTTCTGTATAGAGGGCAAACCTCAAAGAGCTGCATTCAGGGACTTCTTTAACTGCCTTCATGGCACTGACATTTGTTCATTGTTTTAGTTTTAACATGCTTTATTTTAAAAACAGAATGTTCTCTGTTTTGCTGACAAGTGAACCCGGTAGGATTTCCTGGCAAGGGTTAAGTGCAGAGAGGTAACACAAGAGCACTATATGCTGGTTGGATTCTTGGAGCCAAATAGCTGAATAAATGTACCTTTAATGTCATGCAGAGGCTATTTGAAGTCAGAAATCAATGGACATCCATTTGTAAAATCCACGCCTAAAACTCTTTGGAGTCTTTGTTCTTTATTTGAAGTT